GCTGTGTGCCCACGGGTGCCCAGTCCCACCACACCTACCAAGCTGGATCAAGGGTGAGAGGCAAGAAGCTCAGTGGTCACCACAGGATCTTGCTAAATCATTACATGGCTCAGGCGGGGCTTGAACTTGTGATCCTCCTGTTTCAGCCTCCTCAAGTGCTGGAATTACAGGTAGGTGCCACCATGCCAGGCTCAAGGATGCAGAAAATCTTGCAGTCACTTTTCAATTCTCACTTTGGGCAATTTATTCCACCTCCTACAACCTTACTTTCCTCATTTTAAAAGTGGAAATAATCTATAACCATAGCAGATCAGGTAAAATACTATAGGTTAGGTGAAACAATGTAAATAAAGGGCCCAGTTTTGGTCAGTATTTAAATAATAGCTAGTGTTATTATATCCACCTTATTTACCTTGTAAAATTTATAAACCGTGCCTGAAAAGGCTCAGCAGCTGTCACCCTCAGTAGCTGGTTCAGTAGCTGTCACCCTTCAGGACTGCTGAGTTCTAGATGTTCCTTGCCCACCTGGCGCCAGAGTTCTTACCTGCTCCTGTCAACTCTGCCAGTTTTCCAAACTCTGGACTCTGTCATTCTCCTGGTTCTGTGGGGCTCATTTACTGCTTCCTATTTGGATTCCTGGCCTTCACCCAGCGCCAATCTGGAGCCACAGAATCTGCCCTGCTCTCTCCCATTTACTGTCATGCTGCTGCTCAAGCCCCGCCTCATGGTCAACAGGGTAGAATTTCAGGAGAAAGTGTCTCACCTCTGAAAAACTAGAAGTTTATACTTTGTCAGTTTCTGGTTTGTTGCCTTATTTAATGGAGTCAAAATGAAGAATTACCTGATTTCCTTAAAAATTAGTGTAACTATTAAAGAAGGCAATAAAATGTAGGAAAACATGCCCACCGCTTCTAAATAATGACCTGGGAGAAGGAAGTGGCAAAATTGTGATAAAAATGTGCAACGGCAAGAGATAAACCTGGGTTTTACTAAAGCAACATGCAGGAATCTCTTGAGCTTACTGAACTTTATGCTCCATTTAAAACAAAAACTAATGGTGAAAGGACTTGCAAGAACTCTGAGAGCTGAGGACAGAACACCTGTCAGTGACATCCAGCCTGCTTTTGGCTTCTCCCTTGCCCTGTAATTTCCCAGGGTGCCGATGGTGTCCTTCCAGGGCAGAGGCAGGTAAAGGGATGAGTTGGAAACACAAGACTTCAGCAAACCCAGGAGGATCCTTGGGAAAACTGACCATCAAGAGACCGAAGTGGACTAGTCATCCAGCACTCTCCCCTCCTACAGATTTTCCACCCAACTTCAGAGGCCTAGAGTTGGACCTCATAGATGGAGATGTAGGTTTTCCATACAAAAGTAAAGATGAAAGCAGTCTACGATTACTACACTCTCTCCTAGAGGATACCCACCCACTTCATCTGGCCAAGAAGACAATTTAATTCGCTTAGAAGGAGTGGTGCTCAAGACATGATCTCCAGATCAGCAATACAAGCAATTTCTGGCAGCTCATTCGAAATTCCAGTTCTCAGGGCCCCCTCAAGGCCTGCTAAATCAGAGACTTTGGGAGTGGAGCCCAGCAGTCTGTATTTTAACAAGTCTTCCTGGGGACTCTGGTGTATACTGAAGCTTGAGAATACTGACTTAGAGAACAAGCACAAAACAACTTCAAAAAATAGTTCCACCTCCTCCTCCAAAAACTCATTAATTACCTGCTATAATGTCAGAAAAGCACCTGTTTATCTCCCTTGTCTATAGAGTCAACTCAGGATTATCCTCTATCACGCCATGAAACAGATATGGTAGAAGTCAGTAGTAACTGGTTTAGACTTACCCTCTTGCAAGATTCCACCCTCCTCCTTAGGCTTTGTTTACCAAATCTCATCCATAGTCTTGAAACCTAAGTAGCCACAACAGAGTCTGGCACAAATACTGGCTGAATGGATAAATGAGTACACTGTATGGAGGAAAGCGGAGATGCTGGCAATGCTGGCTATCAGTACTGTCATTTGGAAATAACCTCCTATGCCTCATCTGGAAAATGGTTCTTCTATACAAGAGCTACTACAAGTTGACTGTACCATCAATACTCTATTCTACAACTGGCTCCTTGGTCCCCGATGATCCCAAGTAGCAACAGCTGGTATGAGAAAAGATTTATAAGGATCCCTCATTCTTCCCAGGAAAAGGTTCAACCGTCTCATCCAAGGATTTCTGAAGAGTTCCCAAACTGGCACATTATCAGGAGTGAGCATCCTGCAGGATTCTCCTGTTGGAGTACTATTTTTTTAAAAGGCAAGCAAGAGAGAGGCAAATTGCTAGGAAGTTGCATTTTTGCAGCAATTGGGAGACAAGTCTAACTTCTTACCAGAAACGGAAACCCATGTGATATCACTGTACTGCATATGAATTATTAATGTTTATAATCTCTTTTGCCAATTAGGTATTCAAGAAGGTTCCTGTTGACATCATGTTTGACATCATAATGCTTCATCATTCTAAAAGCTTAATGAAATGAATTATTGCTAGAAAAAAAAGAGATTGGCACACATTTTGCACTCTGGGGAATTCCAAAAGCCAAGGAGATAATGAAGATATGGTGCATAATTGATTACAACAAGAAGAAAAAGAACTATTGAAACCCACCACCACCATTTAAATAGGACTAAGGGGCAAAGATTTTATTTTTCTATGTAAGAATTTTAGAAAGGGATGGGGGAACCATGTGGCTAGCAACTATCTCAAACTCTTAAGGCAAAAGAAGAATTCTTATTCTAAAAAGGAATGAAAGTAAAGATTTTACAAAATATCTCATGTACAAAGAATACAGAACCCTTGAACTGTAAGACCGAAAAAGTCAACGTAACACTGAAGCATAGGCCTAAAGAATACTATTAAATATTTTAGGGTAATTCTGTGATTAAAAATTCTGTATGCTTTGTGTACCTCTGGTCTCAAATTTAATTTCAAATATCTAATTTCTCAGATCTATGCAATCCAAACTAATGTTGAATCCCTGAAGGAGTAGCTTGGTTGGAATGAATTAAGCTTCTATTTGGGAATCTTCTTGATAAAGCAAAGTGGAATAAATTCCTTCCCAGGTCAAGCCATTTAATATGTAAGCCAAGTAGCAATGAGGTTTATACAAATTTATACTCGCTGCTAAAAATCACTCCCCCCATTCCCCGTTTTTACTGCATTTGGAATCTAAGTAACCTCTTGAAGGAAGCATTAAAACACAAAGAATGGGTTCACTCATTTTTTTTCTTTCACTAAACAAACAGAGTACCAAGAGTTGCCAAGTGCTAAAATGAGATCTTTGCTACTCTAAAGGGCAAAAATACACAATTTCCCTTGAGCATCCCCCCCCCTAAAATACACAGAGTTCAAGAGTGGCCACCATTCTGAACTACTGCTTCAAGTTTTCAAATTTTCTTTTCAACAAGAGAAAGAGATAGTCTTTATTATTAATATCCCAATATAACCCAATTTAATGCTGTCACTAAATATAGCATTTTAATCCCTTGAAATTGTTCCTAAAACTAACTCTATGAGAACTAGTGGCAGGAGGTGGAGAAGGAGACAAAGGACAGTACTCAGCACAGGCCTCTGTAACAAATGTGTAATTATACATTGTACTTTCATGAATCCAGATCTCGAGTTTTTTAGTATTCTATTTCAAAAAGCTTATTTTTGGTAAAGAGTAGGTGCTCAATAAATAGTATTTTTTATTCTAGCAGTATGATTATTACCAAAGAAGCGCTGCAACTACAAACATCAGTTAAGATTCATATTGCAAATCAAAATGCTGTTTTCTCCTTAAAAAGTCAGTTCATGAGAAGAAGCGTTTGGTCTTCAGCCTGAAGCCGGCACACGCTTTCCTTCCCCTGGCTCCAGCGTGCCCTGACTTCCTCCAATCAAGACCAGGCGACCCCTCACATTAGGTCTGCTGCTGAAGTTTTTAACGATTAAATACGCGATGTGTCTCACTCAAGGAATCACGGAGTGGCTCCTGGAAATCTCGCTGTGCAAAAGCTGCATCTAGCTAACATCAAAAGTCACAGAGTTGAATTTTTTTTTCCTCTGTACAGTGGAAGTGCCACTGACATTTTGTTTGCTATAAGCAATAAAGAAGCCCAGTGTCCAGACTGACATAATGAGATCCGTTTTGAGAACGTATAGGAAGGTGCTAATAAAATAACCATTTTCATCTGCCATTAAGAAATACCTAGTGACTGCTTTAATCGTGTAAGCATTTTTTTCCCACTTCCTCACAATTTCAGCCTCCTGAAGGACCAGACGTATGTGCAGAATCTGCATCTTTAGACAGCTGCACTGCACCGCAAACCATGTCCCCTAGCTGTGTCTCCGCTGGCAATCTACACTTAGGGGCGGCATCTCTCAATTTGTCCAGGATGCAGCCAACCCAAGAGAGAAAGGCTAAAGTGACAACAGGTTCCACCCTGCTCCTCTTCCTATCCTTGCTCTGTCTCAAAACACAAACACTCTTACTCATTCACAAATCCTGGGCTGGGTACCTGGGCTTGAGACTCCCTTGGCTGGCTTTGCCAGGTGAAAACCTGAATGGGAACCACGTCTTATACGGGTACTGGGTCTGCAGCAGTCACCCAATTGGCATGCAAACCCAGCCTGGTGCTCAGATTCCCCCACGCTCCGGACGATACACGCACAGCTCCGGCCGCGCATCCCGAGCCACCGCCTCCCTCCCGGGGGGAAACAGGCCAGCCCGCTGCGCCTCCCTCTCCACCCGGGCCCCAGACCAGCTAGGGTCCCTCCCCGCGCCCCTCTGGGGATCTTTTCCCGCTCCCATTTCCTGGTCCCTCATCACCCCGCTAAACGCAAAGTAAACTCCTCCGGAGCGCAGCCGCCCCGCGCCCCCGCATTACGCCCGCTCCCAGCCGGGAAGACCCTGCCCCGCGGCTCGGGCCGGACGGGGAGGGCGCCCCACGCGGGCGGGCGCCACCTACCTGCACGCTGGTGTAGCTGGTCTGGGTCTCGGCCTCGGCGCTGGCGCAGCAGTGGCGCCTCCGGCCCCGGCAGGTGGTCCCGGCGGGGGCTGTGGAGCCCTCGCTGCTGCCGCTGCCCAGCTCGGCGCGGGCCCTGCGGACGCGGACGGCACCCAGGGGTCCCGGTGCGCGGCCCGCGGGGACGGCGTCGGAGGCGTCGGTCTGCACGAAGAGGCCGTGTAGGGGCGCCGCGGGGCCCTGCGACACGCCGGAGGTCTGGCGGGGCGAGTTGGACTCGTCTGAGTCCCGGCAGTAGATCACGCCGCTCTGCGAGACGTGGATGCTGGGGGCGCAGCCCATCCCTCGGCCGGGCTCTCCCGCGCCCCACGCCGCCCGGACCCCGCGCGCCCGCGGCCACCTGCAGTGAGGGGGCGGTGGCGCGGGAACTGCGCACCCCTGGGCCTGCGGGGCCGCCGCTCCGTCGGGCTCGCCTCGCTGCCCCCCGCCCAGCCTCCGGGGGCCGCGCGCGTCACCCCAACTTTCCCTCCTGGGCCATCGTCCTCCCCGAACCGGAGAGCGCGCGCACACAGCGCCCCGCGCGCACCGGCGGCCGCCACCCTCCCCGCCGCGGCGCCCCCAACGCGCTCCCCGCGCCGCCGCCTCCCTCCGCCTCCCTCGTCTCGGCTGCGCCGGGCTCCCGCGGCCCCGGGCCAGGCGCCCACCCGCCCGCCAGCCTGCGCCGTCTTCCCGCCTCGGCCCGCACCCTCCCTTGCTCCCTTCTTCCTCAGGTGCCCCAGCTCCGAGGACGCGGGCACCACGCCTCGGCGCCCTCCCCTCCTCCGCCGCTGCCCAGGGGCCTCCTCCCGTGGGGACCCTTCGCGACGCCGCCCCCTAGTGCCCCGGCCCCTCTTCCCTGCCGCATAAGCCCTGGGCCAGGCCTTGAAGGGCTGGGTGGCCACGGAAACCCCACCATAAGTCTCTGGCTTCTCAGGGACAAATGTTCACACGTCTCTAACCAAAACGCCAGGACTCCTGTCCCCAGCAGGAGGGACCCTGCAGCCCAGGCCCTCCCAGTGGGTTTGCTAGCCTCTCCGAACACGGAGAGCTGAGGAAAGACCTGGTTTTCCCAGTACAGTCCTCTTTCCCTCGACCCCCACCGCACCCCGTTTCCTGCACGCAATCGCTGTCTGAAGGCTGAGGAACCCCATTCCAGTGTCCTTATTGTTTGGAAATTCATGCCAAGGAATTGGAGGCCTTGAACTGGAACCTGGATACTTGAACACCTAATTTCCTGCAGAAGATCTAAAGCTAGTGAGAAGCTGTGTACAGTCTAGCTTGCTTTCTTCCCTCTTCCCTGGCTGTCACTAAACTTTCACCCCGACTGTTACCCTATTCAGCCTCCCGTTGTCAACTCTTCTTTCTCACACTCAGGCCTGGCCAGTCAAAATGCCTTTCCTCACTCTCCTTAGTGAACCATAGGCAGACTCAGCTGCTCTGGAGAAGGGCAAGAAGGCTTCAAGCTTGCAGTTCCCCCTTCCCTTGTGTGACATCCGGGCACAGCCACCACTGCCCACTTATCACAGGCTCCTTCAGTAATGCCACAATGGCAAAAGGTGGGTAATGAGTTGGTCTAAGAAAAGAGTTTAGAGTTGCTTATAACAACAATAGTAAAACAAACGAGTTTAAATGCAAAACACAATGATAAGTATGCAATCTGAAATACTGTCCATCATCCTTCTCTTCCTTTCTCTTTCCATACCACCAACTCCTAGGGTGACCATCATGAAGACCTCAAATGATTTCTGACCTTCACAGAGAAGCAAGGTATCACCCGACTTCCCAATTCCAAACATAAAGGAGAAAAAGCAACTTTATTCTTGCACTTCGGCTTTCTCATCTCAGTTTAACCCTTTTGGTGTTGTTGTTGTTTTGATGGCACACACACACAAAAATCCATCTCCAGTTAATCTGCAATAAATTTATGCTGTATTTTCTAATGGACAGGCAAATTGCTCAAAAGATTTTTGCACAGGTTGAGTTCCCCAAAAAAGCAGATTAGGCCATGGTGTTTAGTAAGCAGAGGTTTTATTAGGAAATGCTCTTGGAATCAACTAGTGTGGAAGGACAGGGGCAAGGGAGAGAGGGTGACATTTGACCAGAGGGGGAGAATGATTCCAACCCCCTCCCATATTCCTGCCACTAGTGTGATGCTCAGAGCAACCGGACTTGCTATAAGAGGGTGGGCTTTGATATACCCAAGCCTGTGTGGATCAGCATTTACGTACAGGCCACATCAGTGACCTTGGGCAAAGTGGCCCTCTTCACCTTATAAAAGAGCAGCTGAGCCAAGGATTTTCTGCTGGCAGCACTCCAAGCAGCCAGGAAAGCCAGTCAGTCCTTCTTTATGGCATCCAGCTTCCCCCACAGTCCCCTTGCACCCTGCCTGGACACCATGCCTATAGGAACACTACATTAAATGTTGAGACAATTTGGGGATGATTATTTATTTAAAACTAAGCCTGACAGCTACCATCTGCCCTACCTCCAAGGGACCCCTTAAAACCTGATCAAACAACATCAGTTAGATTATAAAAACACTAGTGTCCATCAGGATTCCTGTTGTAATGTTAATGTCAGGAGTTCACTGTTCCTAAAGTCAGTCTGTGATTCTCTCCTTCGTACCCATTTTGGTCATTCTCCTCAGGAAGCTACTCCCCGTAGCAGATTTAACATACTGAAATTTAGGGCCATGCTAATTCTCTGGCTACATGTCTACTTTTTCAAAGTTTTCTCAAGAAATGTGGCTACTATGCTGAAATTACCTAAAGGGAGAGGGAACCACTCCACTCACTGAGACTTCTGCAGGCAAGATTATGATAAAACAAATTACAACCCATCTTCTGATGGAGAACCTTAGGAGCTGAATCATGAAGGAAGCAAGTCATTCAGAAACAAATTTAGGTTGAACTTTCTACATTAGAAAAGGAAAAAAAAAAGCCAGGCTGTTTCTGTGGGATAATTGAACATTTCAAGGTGGAACCAGTCTTTGGCTGAATGCAACTTCTCCACAGGAATAAAAGACAGAAGGAGACAGGCGCTAGATGTACATGTTTCCTCCCATTTCCACAGCAGCCAAGAGCTCAGTTTCCACTGCCAATTCTGGCTTAGTGAAAGGAAAACTTAATGTATCCCTCTAATCTCCACCAAGTGTTCTCAGTGGGAAGGTGCAAGCTGCCCTTTGCTGAACAGATCTGATCTCTGAAACTTAGAGAAGTGTGTAAGTGGAGGAGAAATGTTTCGCTGAAGTCATTCCCCCAGCTTCATTCTGAGGCCTGAGTTGTTGCCTGTGTAAGTGATTTCTGAAGTGATCCCCAAGTAACTATTTCAGTGTATTCCAGAGTGACAGCAAAGTCACTGCAGACACAATTTAGGCCCAAGTTACAGAAAAAGGCAGAAAAACTCAACATTACAATAACTTTTTTTGATCAAGTAGAGAAAAATTTAACAACAATGTCCAAAAAGCAAATTGAAAGAAAGCAAACCAGATCAGAAATATATATATATATATATATATATCAAACCTCAGATAGGTCCAAGGTCAGCTGTGAGGCTTTTATGTTTCATAATGATATCAAGTAAGTGCTTACTTCAAAATTATGACCCAGAGGCACTGTAAGATCCTGAACAATTAAGGTCCACTCCAATTCTAAAATGGTATGAATCTTCCAGAATTCCTCTAAAGAAGCAGAAAATGTGATTAATACACTTTGAATGATTCTTAACCATAAAGGTTAAAACAATAGCAGCTACCTGACTGATCTTAGATAACCAAACATTTAATCCACCAATAAACCTTATTACAGAGTTTCTGAGTTCAGACCCTGGTCCTAATGGTGAACTTATTGGAAATATAATCCCCTACAAGCAAAATGATACTGGTTTATTAGGCAGCCAGCATAGCGAAAGGCACGCTGAACTCAGTCAGAAGAGCAACCCTGAGCAGAGGTTCTGCCTCTTAGAGTTATGTAACCTTGGGCAAGTCACTTAACTTCTGGACCTCAGTTTCCTAGGTAATCACTAACGTCTCTAAATCACCAACATTGGGGACACTATGAAAGTTTCAACCCTCTCCTTAAATTACATTCAATTTAGAATTGTGGGACTTTTGAACTAAAAGCAACAGCCCCAACAGAACACCAGAATCACTTAGAGGAATATGTCAGAAATACAGCAATTCCCTTGTCCCATCCCAGAGACGTGGCTTCAAGGGGTAAGGACTGGTCTAGCATCAACCCTTTCAAGGAAAGTGAACAAGGGTGGCCTTCCCATCGCCTCTGTAGGGGATGAAGGGGAAGGCTGAAGTCCTTACAAGTACTCATGAGCCCCTATGCAATGCGTGGCCACCTTTGCTCCTCCACGCTCTGCTCCGACCACAGAGGTCTCCATGCTGTTTCCCCAGGAGAGTCACCGTGCCCAGGAGCTGCCACCCTCCCAGTCCTGCAGTCACATCCACAAGTGTGGGGCTGACCTCCTCCAAGCCTCCAGTCAGATGTCCCCTACTCGATGCTGCCTATCTACAACTCCAATTAAAAATCACACCTATATCCCTTCTTTGTCCCTCTGCTACTCCTAACCCACTTAGCCTACGGTTTTTCTTGTTTCATAACACCACCCTCTAACTTACTATATAATCAACCCTCTCTCTTATCCATATGCTTCTCGTCTATCTGTTCTCACCACAATATACTTCCTCAAAGGCAGAGATTTTTTTACTTTCTTATTTACTGATGCCTCTCATACTTTTAGAACAGTGCTTAATAGTTGCTCAAATATTTTTGAATGAAAGAATGAATTCTTTTCTCCCTTCTCTCATTTCTCATATCTTAACTGTTATAACCCAACATTAAAGGAGTTATTATGTTAGGTTTTTCTTTTTTAGTAGAGTTTTATGTTTTTAGGGGTTTTTGTTTGTTTTGTTTGTTTTTTGGGTTGTTTTTTTTGGTACTGGGGATCAAACTCGGATCCTTGCGCTTGAGAGGCAAGCAGCATAACCACTGAGCTAAATCCCCGGCCCTATGTTTTTAGGTTTTAAAGTCAGTGAATTTCTTTCACCTGGAAATCCTCCTTTTAGTAATAAAATAATTTGTACAGAGATGTTTGGGAACAATACTATTAATAATTAAGAAATGGATAATTCAAACATCAAATGTTTAAGCAGTCTCAACAAACTACACTGGTAAGTTAGAGTAGCACTAATTAAATGTGTTTAGATGAAAATATTAGGTTAAAAGCAATGTAGTCAGTATACACTGGTTATTAAAAAAATGGAAAATAAACATAAAATGATATAAAAACAGTACATAAAAACAAGGTGAGTGAAGGAATGCAATGTCAATTCTCTTCAAAAATTTTTAGCTGACAATATTTTATGATTTCCACTGATATTTTTCCCTTGAACAAGGGAGAAAATAAAAAAAGTTA